TATCAATATGTTTATCCGCTTGTGCATGGTTGTTCCCAGGCATAGATTGAAATCGGATTCTGTAATCTTACCTGAAATGATTGGGTAATTTATAGTGAGAATAAAAAAACACGAATGTTTGAATCTACCGTATGCATTTTTGTTGGTTTTGAATACAATTGTTTCAAAATCTTATTCGTTTCCTTGAGGTGTTCCCTTTTTCTGGCTCTTTTATGAATAATAATTCGATATTGTGTATTTAATCATTTTTCATTCTTGTTCTTCTTTGCAGCGATCGAACTCAGCGAATTCAGTACATACCAATGGTTCTCAAAGCGGACATCTCCTGGGTCGCTTACGTGCCACCTGTTTGCGAATCAACCGTTACGAGGTGCTTCTCGTAGTCGGAACATTTATCATCTATTTCGCCGTGGTTGGGAATGAGCGTGTATTTGGTAAATTCATGTTCACCTACGCGTTGTACGGCCCAATTGGGATGAGTACCGGACAGGGTTATCTGCTTCATTTAATCTATTGGATCTTTTTCGGCCTGGCTCGCGTGTTATCGTGCATGCTGGCTCTAGTGATCCCCGCACGATTGATGCTTGGTCTGTTGGCTGTGGGCACTCTGATTGCTTCGGCCAGCCTGATCCTCATTCCGCCGACGGCCGCTTGGTTTTTCGCGTTCACCTGTCTATTCAGCCTGTGCAAAAGTCCCCTGTTCCCGGCCACTCTGGCTGCGATCAATCTGTCTCACGAGGTCACTGGCTTGTTGGTTCTGGTGGTCAATTTGGGCAGTGCCGGTGGAGCCAGTCTGCTCCAATACACCGCCGGAGCTCTAATTCAACGATACGGTCAGTTTGTATTCCCCTATCTGGTCTGTGCTAGTGCGTGTGTTGTTCTACTCACCGCGACCGCATTGATTTTTGTGCTACGGGTGATGGGCAATCGNAAAACGCATCGACGGATAAAAGCGACCAAGTACTTGACCGCTTTGTTGAAACAGGCGATACGGAAGAAATTCAGGTCTATCATAGTTCACTTTCGTCCAAGATGAAGGATACATCTACTCCCGCCTAGATATTCAATTACCTTTGTGGAATATCAGCTATTCATTTTTTCGATCACTCACCACTACCAACAATGTACGGCTCGATTTGTGCCAAAGTGACGTGAAAGCTTAAAAATATTATAATGAGACTCACGTGATCTTTCTTCTTCGATCTCCCTCTATCATGGTGCTTCTGTTCACCATTTTTCACTATTTGTCCTTCAAAAGAACTTGGACTAATTCATGTCTGTCCACCGAAATGGGTATTTTTGTGTCTAATTTTCTCACATTTACCGCCTATTTTATTTGAAACAATTATGTGAATTGTTTTTGTCTTGATTGTCTTACATTTCTATACGGAGATATATGCGTGACCAACCGGAACATTGAATTCATGGATTATTATTTTCGCGCATCGTGCACCCGATTCCTATCTGATCATAGTTCTGTACCGGATACGTCTTGTTTTCTGTCTGTTTTCATACGTGCTCTACATGCTGTTTCACACGAGAGTAAGCGAAAATGAGGGATTAACCATAAATGTTGTCATGTAATCTAGATCTCTGTGTGTTGTGTCTGTTTGCTTGTAAATTGTCTACATCCCATACATATGCGAGCACATCGACTTGATAAAGGTAGGCGGCTTATTGGATTCAAAACTCACTCCTGCGGCGTACGCAAGAATAATTCTTTCGTATGATTTTATTCTACAGCTCGGGGTCTACCAACACCCGAATCGTGAAGTTGCTCTAAAGTCTCAATTCCTAGTTTAGTTCAGTTCAGTTTGTACAATCATTAACCATGCACTTTCTTGCATTGGTTTTGATTGCCCATTTGGATAAAACAGCCGAAGAGTAGTGGAATGTTGGAAGCAGAGTCAAAGAGAAAGTAGCGAACTAATAAAGACTGAGGTTTCGAGAGTAATGAGTAAATGCACGAGCACCACTGTTTGCCACAATCAGCCTTATCATTCAGTATCTCTAACCACCGGTTAACATGATCTCGAGAACTTAGCATGATCTGTGATCGAGTTTCCTGGTTATGGTTTCCGTACCCTTATGGCTGGTATTAGTTTAACCACCATTGGTTTTTTACACTCTAGACCTGCTCCAACAAACATTGCTGGCTTTGACAATCTATTTGAGTATATGGGTCACGCACGCCCCAACCAAAGCAGTCTATGGAGGTCGGTCGCTTTCTCCCCATCACGACAAGACTGCACCTTGACGTGGTGTGATGGCTTGCGGGCTTCCATGACCCTGAGAGCTATACAGGATGGCTGCTCACAGCCGCAGACCTAATCATACCTGAAAGGCCAACGGCCAGACGAAGATCAGTCTCACAAGACCGGCTGCTTGGGCACCTGGCTTCCTTCTATCCACGCCCGCCCCTGGAGAAGTCACTCCAGAAAATAAACACGGTGAGGGGCAGTTTATCGAAGTATGTCGTGTCCTGAAGTCTCATGCACCCATCTGTTCTTCCTCTCAATCCCGAATAATCCCAAACGCCTGCTGTTTACAAGACCCATCGGAAATCACTCAGCGTTTACCAACAAGTCCAAACAATCAGAAGTTACAGGGTTTTTGAAGCCGAAATTTCATTTTCACTTAGCCGCGTTCAATATCCTCAAACTATCAGATCGGTCAACAAGTTACCTTAGCTAGAACCCTTGAAACTTTCAATTTAGATGTATGCTGTGTCTCCGAAACACGCATACAAGACCCTACTTCCATGATCTCTCTGCGTTCTCCTGATCCCACCTCAACCTCACGCTTCACCCTTCTTGTATCAGACGATTCGGCGTCCGAAGCTCGCGGTGTTGTTGGTGTCGGGATTGCGCTAAGTGCTAAGGCTGAACGCTTGCTTCTCGACTGGATTCCAGTCAGCAGCCGACTGTGCGCCGTACTTCTCAACGGTTCAGCGTGGGTCAACAGCTACAGAACGAATTGTCGATGTCTATTCGTCGTGTCGGTGTATTCACCGATGGATTGCAGTACACCTGAAATCAAGGATGAACTCTACAAGGACCTTTCTCGATTACTCCAGAGCGTACGGTCAACGGACATCGTGGTAATCGCCGGAGACTTCAATGCTCAAATGGGATCTCTTTACGAATCAGAGAAGCTTCTTGGTGTAACCGATAGTTAGAGACACTGAGTGATATGGCTGGGTGTCGTAAACAGTTACGTTCGTGCATTTTCTCATTTTCTCTGTATCATTAGTCTACTGAACTCGTCAACTTTCTCTTAGATCCTGCTTTCAACCTTTCCTGTCTTTCTCCCAGTGTTCATCCAAATGGGCAGCCGAAAGATAGCAACCAAAACCCGCGCACGATAATGCATGGTTAATGGTTGTGCAAACTGAACTGAACTGAACACTTCCTCTAGTGGGCGACCGCGATTACGAAAACTCTGTGTCTAACCGGAGCATCCCTTGTCCGGTTTTCCCACTTGACTTGTGAAATAGGGCGTAGACAATGGTGTTGGAACACCGACAATCCTTTCTTATCCTGTTACGTAACGGTAAACTCTGCGTAGTATAGTAGCACTCGGTACTTCACATAACCGGATGTCGCTACGGCGCCACAGATGTCTCAAGTTAGCAAATGCCAACCGAGCCTTCTGTATGCATGCCGATACTTAATCTGTTATGCGTCCGCAGGTTCATCACACATTGGTGTGTAATANGTGTAATAAAAAAGAGATACAGCTGCCAAAACAACAGCAGTTTTCCACTTGCTTTATTAGTTCCCCAGTTAGAGTGATGTTAGGAGCTGGACCAACCCAGTCTTTTAAGTTGGTAAATGCGTGCACTAACACAAACTATTCAAAACGGCTTCCAACTTACGTGAATCTTCACTTAGCAACACAATGTCTGCATGCTCCAGATCGGACTATTTACCACCTGAGCAAACATCAATGCCTCGGTATTCCCGCATGAGGGCAGGGCTAATTCCAGAATCAAATCTGTAACAAATTTACATAGAAAAAGAGAAAGGACCACCGTCAAGTAAACCGCTTTCTGTGGTATCCCTAGGATGAAAAAATGCAGTGAGCTTGAACTCGACTCTGACTATTAGGATAAGAGGATCGTGCTATTGAAATAAACTTTTTGCGCACACTCTTCACAGAAGGGCAGCGCCAGAGAGTAGAGCAATTTCTGTTACCCAACTGTCTTGCATTCCAGTTAAGCTGCAATACAAAGGGATTCGTGATGCCTCCGTTTTTCCATCAATCTGCATGCCAATATAATTACCGACTTAAATTTTAATGTTCTAAACTCAATTTCTATCACGATTGCACTATCATTTGTTGCGTTGACTTTCTCGATAAATGATTAAATTATGACCAACTAGAAATAGATAACGCTGCTGATACCTTTTTTCACCTTTGGTAAATCTACCATTCTGTTCAAAGTTATTGATTGAACATCAATCAATGGCTCACACACCTGTCTTGAACCCGCCATCTGATTCCCAGTTGAAAATTTCGGTGCTTTAACTTTTGTGATTAAAGTAATTTGGTCGTCATTATACATTTTTGAATTTCTTGAGGATACTGCCGTGATTTTGGTCAGCTTTCCCGTCTTTGAAGAAAACGCCGTGTCCAGGTGCTCATTCTTCTTTATTACGAACCTGACTTGTACTTCTGAACAGTCCCGATCGATGTTTTGTTACGTGGTGGCTAGGTTCAATGTTTCCTATTTCTCCTGAAATTAATGCACTCCCTCCCAACTGTGGTTGAAAAAGAGACAGTATGTATTTCATTGTTTTGCAAAGCCTTTTTACCACAAACCAGTTAAATCACCGTTGATTTTCATGGACTACCGCGCTTCGCGATTTGGCCACTAGGCGTAGGATAATTTAATTGGTGGCTCGCTTGACTGGCCAAATTGGAAACAAGTTCTCGTCTCAACAGTGCCTGGTCCCTGTGAAAAACCAAAAGGGCTAATCCAAACATTCATCATCTAAATGTATTGAGACATTCGCACAAGGTGATAACCGTCGGTCGTGTAGCTCAGGGGTAGAGGTTTGAAGTCCCTAACCAACTGGTCGCGTTTCGAGTCCTGACATGGACACAAAAAGTACGCACTACTGACGAGTCCGCAACAGAACGAAACAGCTGTCTAGTGCTCTTTGTTGGTTATCACAAACATTTCTATAGCATAAAGACAGTGGAAAATTAACGATCTCCCAAGGAAGGAAACCCACAATCAACATCATCAGCAGTGCCCGGTGCCTGTAAAAAACCCAATGAGCTAATCCAAGGATTCATCATCTAAGTTCTCGTCTCGTTCACTGACACCGACATAAAAAATGCAGGATTCACCAAATCGGAAGCATAGTTTCCCCGTAACAAATTTGAATAAATAAAACAAAAACAGGTTTGCACAATGTATCCTGAATCATTTCGCTGCATCTGTACACGTGCATACCGCAGTCTATGTGATCATTAATATATGGTCAGTAAATAACCGAATCAAAGGCGGAGAAAGATTGCGGTCAAAATTACTCACCAAACACACCAGAGTAATAAGCCATTCATGCTGTTTACATAGCTTGCGATGGTAATTTTGAATGACTAGTGCCTCGGCGTATTTCAGAACCTTGGTGTTGTTTGTGTTGTAGAGGATTCTGAACGCATCGCGCAGCATGACACAGTGTTTCATTTCGACCAGGTGTTGTGTGATCGACGAACTGAGTTTCCTGCGCGTCATTGGTGACCTCATACTTCCGAAGTTTCCACTCATTGTTTTCTGAAGCCAGACCGGGATGGGCTCGGTTACTCGATAGTGATTTTCTTCTCCAGTTCTTGCGGATCATCCTCTGTCTTATCCACTCTGAATTTTCTTTCATCATTCAAAATAGAAACCATTTTTTCTTTGTAACAAACCTTATCCATCACAACAACACCGAATCCTTTATCTGGACGTAGAACAACCACCTTTTCATTCGATTTTAATTCCTTCAGAGCCATCAAGTGGGCTTCAGTCAGTATTGTACGTTGCTGCATTGATGTTGTTCGGTATTGATCTTCTATATCCACCAATTTTGCTTTGAACCAGCATATGGTAACTATGGATGTAAATGCACTGTTCACCAACGTCCCCCTACTGGACACCATCGCGATCATTCATCAAACTATGGAAAATAAGAACATTCACGTTGGACTACCAGCAGATGAACTAGAAAGGCTTTTGTTGTTGTGTGCCCATAATGTGAAGTTCTCCTTCTTAGGTGAACGCTATCAACAGATAGATGGAGTCGCTATGGGCAGTCCTCTGGGGCCCATTCTTGCGGACATTTTCGTCGGACATCTAGAACATCAGTTGAGGGACGAAATTAAAAAGCTGGCTCTATACTGCCGGTATGTTGATGATATATTTATCATTTGTGATGCAAAGGAAGACGGGGATAGATTATTTGAACACTTGAATAATCTCCACCCGAACATAACGTTGACACGCCACAGTGAAACGCAAGACAGCATCGCCTTTTGGATGTGGAAGTTTCACGTCGAACCGATGGGTCAATCAGAAGATCTGTGTACCGGAAGGATACATGGTCCGGACAATATCTCCATTTTACCAGCTTTGCTCCAATGGGATATAAGATTGGTCTAGTTCGAACGCTCTTCTACAGACCGCGGCTGATTTGCACAACGGATACATTGGTTACCGAATATGAAAAGATTAGAAAAGTTATACACTCTAACGGATATCCGAAAGGGTTCATCTCAAAGCACTCTCGACCCAACCATACTCGGGAAAGGACATCCAGGTGCAGATAAGATGAGAGTGGTCCTGCAATTGCCCCTCAAAGGTGACGATGTCAGCTGCCTGATTACCAAGCGCCTAAAATTGGCTGTTAAGCGGACCTACTACGCAGCTGACCCCATTGTTGTTTTTACAACCGCCCGGTTGCCAATACCATCGGTGAAAGAACCGCTGTCTCCCCACGCCAAATCTAATTGTATCTATCAGTTCAAGTGTGGATGCTCGGCCATCTACATCGNTCGTCGATCACACAACACCTGGTCGAAATGAAACACTGTGTCATGCTGCGCGATGCGTTCAGAATCCTCTACAACACAAACAACACCAAGGTTCTGAAATACGCCGAGGCACTAGTCATTCAAAATTACCATCCCAAGCTATGTAAACAGCATGAATGGCTTATTACTCTGGTGCTACCTTGGTAACAAATGTGTTTGGTGAGTAATTTTGACCGCAATCTTTCTCCGCCTTTGATTCGGTTATTTACTGACCATATATTAATGATCACATAGACTGCGGTATGCACGTGTACAGATGCAGCGAAATGATTCAGGATACATTGTGCAAATCTGTGTTTTCGGCTTCTTTATTCAAATTCACCGAATCGTTCAAAAAGCATTCTGATTTATCCATTCTTGACTGGCAATCCCAGGTACAACTATGTGTTCTAAGATGAACTATTCTCTTGTTCACGTGCAGTTTGGATACGGGATATTTCGAGTCATTTTTCGGGGTTTACGATTTTTTTTATTACACTGTTTTGTGTGATGAATAGCGGACGGGGTATACCCCGTTGTCAAGAGGACCTACCGTTCAGTGATGGAAAACGGTAACCTAAGCCCGGGGGCTTGGAGTGGTGAACCACATAAGGCTCCGATCGGTTAAGTGTGCTACTGGACCGGACGACAGCAAAGCTGCCTACCAACAAAGTTGGGTAGCACTGTGGGGGGGCTCGGATCCATAGCACGCCTGTGACAGCGACTAAACCACTGCACCACCACCACTATTGCACACCCCATTGAATGAAATGATGAGGTCAACTTCACTTCGAAGAGCTGTATAGAAGGTGAACTGTCAGTGGGCGCAGTCCTCAAGTGTGAACGGGTTATCGATCGAATTCTGCATGATAGACAATACCGCATTACATGTATCCACTTAATTCCGTCCTACTTTGATCCTGTACCTAATGCACCCATGATCTTATTTCGCCAGCTCTGACTTTTGAGCGCATAAATTTATCAGAAGAGTTTTCCGGCAGAAAATCGTCTTCCTAATCCATTCAAGAATTATCTCGTAAGCAAACCTACTGACTGAGTTAAAAGCTGCTCGTGGATTTTTTTTCTAAATTTCACTGTCAGCTGCATCATCAACGCTCCATATCCTCAGTATGGTCGGGGTGGGTGTCTAGGGTTGCGGCTGATCACCCTTCCATTGCACCTCGTGAAATGCTCCCGTACGACCAAGCGTCTCAGATAGCCTCTGCTGAGGACGTCCTACTCACTGCCTTCCCTTGGCGGAGGTGTTTCCCACCAAAGTGAGACGGCGAAAAGCCGACATCCGGAGCTATAACCGGGTTGGTGGACCACTGGTAGTTCACTGAGGGGAATTGGCTGAAAACCTTGATTCCAAATCAACCAAGAGGAGGTGTACGAACCACACCCACACCTTTCCGGTTGTGGTAGTGGTCACCGGCTCGATTGGACATCGAGGTGTATTGGGCACCTTGGACGTTTGACCCCGTCCGAAAGGCGTATGATCCGATGAACTGGACACCGACTCCTAATGGATTGCGGTTTTCGCACATCGCTCCGCTGCCTTTTGGGTCAGGCTTTGGCTAGCCGAATGCTTCGATTGTGGATTACCCAAGAAGATTCACCTCACTTGGTCTGGGCAACCTGTCAGTATTCGGCCCACTAGCAAATCGTGGAGCGCTTTTCTTTTTATAAAGATTATTGTACCACGATTTGTTTTTCACACAGAAGTGTGAAATGTATATATATATAAACATATCATCATCATCATCGTACAGAGAGATACAGTGAGCGAGCTTCACTGATCGCTGCCAAGGTTTTGTTTTAAAGTTATGGATTTTCACCGTGAATTTCATTCTTACTGTCTGAAAAATAGCCAAAGTATTTTGCATTAGTCCTGGACTACATAGGTATCGTTTTTAGAAAATATGGGGAACGGTAGTTTTCTCATTGGTTCACAACGACAGTTGTGCCTGCACGCCACCGGTGTTACTGCTGCTGCATGCGTTGGCGTTGAACATGTTTACCGCATCTGTAGACCAAACGGTGTACAACAGTGCGTCTGACCCGGTTGAATCGTGCACATGGCTGGTTGCGATAGTGATTTGTCATGTCATTCGATCCCACTGTGGAGTACAATTGTGAAAGAAAATAGATCGGGTATCGACGGATTATGACACGCATGAATTCACCAGTACCACATATCTGGGCAGAAGGAAAAATATCATCCAAATTGGGCCAGCAAATAAATTCCGCATTTTTTTGTTTTTATTTAACATGGACCTAAGAACTAGGGATGTCTTTTTACTGTCCGGTACCAGTGCTCCCAGGTGTTTTGAAAAAGCAATCTGATGCAAAACTAATCGCATTCGAGGTGGTAAACTGTCCGTTCGCCCATGTACGTGTTTCTGTGTGAGTGCACCGTAGAAAGTCCAATGATTGGAGCTCATTGTTATCAATCTGTATCAGCTGATGGACCTGACACCTGGGTAAGTGACTGACCAACCATGGTGACGTATTTATCGTCTGACCAAAACTTTGAGTACCTATCAGATACTGATACACGCGTACCATAATAAGTTAACCAGTGTTCACTTTGAATGTTGTGTGAAATGCCTAATATCATGGCTTGATACGGCATGGAGTAAGCGGCAGAGACTATGAGTTATACGCTGAAATTAATGGTGTGGGGTGTGCCAACTCAATCTTTTCGATTGAACTACCGTGTTTGAATTCCTTTTCTGACTGTGACCTATAGCTAGCTGCCAGAGAGCTAACTGAATTGTTCCCATTAAATGAAAATGTAAGCCAACCGAACGGGAATTATGCATATTCAATTGAATCATGAACCCATTTGGAACCGGGGAATCTTCATCTTGATCGGAGAAATGCAGTGCTTTGACGTCTTTCTGATCGATTCATATAGTTCACAATCCATTCGTTGTGGGCATACAAATGGAAACATGCATAATCGATCACAGATCCGGATTCCGAAAAGACTACGCAGATTTTCCGTAATTTTAATGAAAATTTTATGAGACCAGTCAAATGTATCACAGAAGATTCTTCTATTTTATTTTTCGCTTTGGCAATGTGGTTGAAGAAGATGGGTTAAATGGGATTTGGCGGGACTGGGCATATGAAATCCCTTCAAGTCAAGTCAAGTATTTGCTTTGGATACACGTTTCCGTTTTTATGCTATATTTTGTGAACACCGTGGTGTGAGACCGCAAATATTATTAGTATGTATATTTTTTGCCCTACCAATACGTTGAGTTGGGCGATGTACTGGGAAAGATCGATTCTCTCCCGGATAATTGTAGACCTAAAGCACATGAATGGCTCTTGGAGTACTTGCTAACAGAATGAAAATTACAAAACATTGCCAAGGCTTTGAATTTTCCCTATTTTTTTCCTTTCATTCAATGGGGTTACTAGACCTTCGTTCGTGGATGGAACTGAAACGTGTTCATTCCCGTAAACTCGCTCAGACAACAAACTCTGGAAGATTACCATAGGAATTAATATTGTCAATGTGAGCGGACGATTCCATGATGTTTTAATTAAACAACCATATTTTGTAAAACTGAACGATATATATATATATATATATATCTGCATTCACCACAATAACCTCATTTGCAGCGCCGGGTTAATTTGTTTGGTTAGCCTTTTCAGAACCAGTCAATTGATTGATGAATTTATCCTAAGATTCCATGTTTTGTAGGTGAGTTAGATGCTCCTCATCACAACGAACGCGATGTAAGCGTCCTTACGGATCATGGAATTTGTTCGTGGGTTTAAGTATATGAATGACGAGATGACAGTTCGCTGAATGCGCATTCCTGACGAACTCTACTGAGAGCGAAACTGAGTATTTGGTTGACCGGGTGAACTGAGTATGAAGCGTGGAAATGGAATCTGAGTGAGTAGTTCAAAGCAATGGTATTTTTATCATAACACTACTCACAAATAACTGTGATTTA